TTCTACTCTCCTCTCCTTCGTCTTCTCTACTCTTCTCTTCTCTCTCTCTCTCTCTCTCTCTCTCTCTCTCTCTCTCTCTCTCTCTCTCTCTCTCTCTCTCTCTCTCTCTCTCTCTCCTGTTGTTATCTCATCGCTCTTCTTCTTCTTCCTTCTCTCCACTGTTGTTATCTCATCGCTCTTCTTCTTCTCCCTCTGCAACTACAATGCATACAAGAGAGGGAGGTCCTTCTTCAAACTCAGAGCAGTGATGAGAGAATTAGAGAACCTTCTTCAAACTCTAAACGCTGATGTGAGAGAGGTCCTTCAAACTCAAATCACTGGTGAGAGAGATGGAGGTTTCCTCCTCCAAGCTCAAAGTCACTGCCATTGATGATATAATGTTAGTTTCCTTGTTCCCGTCATGTGTACAGAGGAAAGGAACCCTCGAAAAATATATATGAAATCATACCATAAAGAGCACGACTTTAGATCCGAGTTCAAAATTAAGCTTTCTATGCTTCCCTTCCCTTACAGTATGAAAGGTTAATGCTCCCCCTTATCCAATCGTCCATTCTGAATTGAATGCTCCCCCTTATCCAATCGTCCATTCTGAATTGAGGGCTAAGATTGCCCCAATCACATCTCTATACTATTTTATTTTAAATTTTTTCCTATAAACTATTTTGACACCAAATTAGTTCCTCTATTAAACTCACACTAGCGAAAAATATAAAAAAAATAGTATCAATAAAATAAAATTACCAAAATACCTTTGAAAGTTTTAAGGGGTATTTTAGTCATTATATTTTATCAAAAATAATTTTTAATTTTTTTTATAGGTGCACCTCAATGAGAAGATGGCACATACAAAATTTCATATTCATAGATTTTTGTATAAAAAAATTAAAAATAAAATACTTTGAGACGTCGGATCTAAAATCAAACGGTGAATGACTCTCTTGATCAAAATTGGACAGTTGGATGGTAGGAGGAGGATAGAATTTCTAGGGAAGCATAGAAACCTTTCCCATAAGAGAAAGGAGGAAAAAGTTTATTTAAGGATGCTACCTTATAATTTAGGACTACGAATGCCTCTCAAAAATCCATCGGAAAAGGTAGTTTTAATGTTGAAAAACATTTTGATTGATCATCTCCACATCGAATTATATAGCTATGAAAAATAAAAAGATTTTAAGTCTCAAAAATAGTGTATGTTACAACATATTATCTACACCATCTATTTTCAAGATTTTCATATGTTTATAGATCTACTTGATTATAACCATTTTTTAGAATTTAAAATTTTATAATTAGATATAAAAACATATTTTGAGATAATCCTAAGAACATTTTACATCAAAATTATATACCATGATACAATTTGAAGGTGCACCTTACCTCTACACCTACGAATGCATCTGTATGCCAACTGCACCCTAAGAGAAATTACTGATATCCTCATCAAATGTTGCATTAAGCTTTATAAGAAAACCAAAAAAAGTCGAAACCTAGCCAAAAAAAATAATCACTTCGATGGATTGACGAAGTTGCTCAAGAGGGAAGACATCTCAAAGCAGAAATACAAACTATCTAAAAAGGGAAAACAAGGAAGATAAATTATGTATTTACACTGGCCAATTCAAAAAGCACGAGCTAAACTATTGGCCCGCTGGAAGAAATTTTTTCTGCACTAAGAGGAGTAGAAAAGTTTGATAGAATGTATGCATAGTTCCCAATATAATTTTTCAGTTGAGAAAGTCTCAAGCACAAAACATTATCTTCTAGATGCCTCATAAGAAAAACGAAGATGATATGAACAGTTCAAAGAGATGAATGGCTAACATGGCCTCTAGAAACCTTAAAAGATATACAAAAATTCTGTCAAAAAATAAGGATTTATTTCTCTCTTGAGCCTAATACTAATTCAGCAGTAGACACTTACCTTGACATAAATTGTTTCTTCACTTCTACCAGAAGAATCAGTATAGTCATAAACAACTTATTATCTCATTTGATGAAAGTGATTATGACTTTCTTATACTAAAAATAAATGATCTCTTTGCGTATTTTAAGCTTTTTTTTTTAACCAATTTGTTAGGAGGCTAGATGTTTGAGACTGATCTAATTCTAACGATGAATCTCCAAGTGATTGCTTTTCACACCCACAAAGGCATATGTAATAAAGAGGTCATCATGATCTCCAATCTAGTAAATGGTCCCTAGCTGTATTAGTTTTAGTGATGTAGCATGAAGTGTTTTAATTTTTGGCCCCATTTTCTCTTATTATTTGTGGGCACTTTTTGAGGTAATGTCTTCATGTATGTTCAAAGGGTGTAGTTGGCATGCGGATGCATCCGTAGCTGTAGAGGTAAGGTGCGCCTTCAAATTTTATCATGGTATATAATTTTGATGTAAAATGTTGAATACGATTATCTTAAAATCTATTTTTATATCTAATTACATAAGTTTAAATTTCAAAAATGTTTAAAATCAAGTAGATTTATAAACATATGAAAATCTTGAAAATGGATTGTGTAGATAATATGTTGTAAAATGCACTATTTCTGAGACTTAAAATCTTTTTATTTTTCATGGTTATACATCTCAATGTCGAGATGAACAATCAAAGGGCTTTTGAACATTAAAACTACCTTTTCTGATGGATTTTTGAGGTGCATCCGTAGATCTATATTATAAGGTTGCATCCTTATATAAACTTTTTCCATGATCAAAACCCATGTAAGTTTCTCTTCACCGCCTGAGATTTTTTACTTTTTTTTGGATAAATCCAGTAGATAGGTATTCTTATAAGATTGGCTTCCGAGTCCTCAATCCCTTAACATGATCCTAAAATCAAATTTAGGGCTTACACTTTCATCAAGTCAATCACACCAAAAAGTGGTCATTCACTCTCCCCAAGTTTTCTAGAGTGATATGCGACCCCCAAATTTAACTCCTCCCCCACCTCCACCTAGTCTAGGGTATCGTAAGCCCCAGTTTCTATGTGCAAAATCTACACTGTCCAAACAAATAGGCACTAGATGTGCGACTAAGGTGTGGGGGGTGTTACCACCACGAGTCCAACCCCTTTCTTATGTGGCCCTACATTACTAAAGGCTACAACCTTATAGAAACCGCTTTCAGCCCTTGTAACCCTATATGATAGATCTTCTTGGCAATGAAGCGGAGAGTCCAAAAACTAACTTTGATGGGCAATTGACTTTTAGTATTTTTTTGGTCTCTTAGTATTTTTAATAGAACAAATAAATCAATCTGATGGATGAGTAAATAAGATTGAAAAAAGCATTTAAAGCTACAAATATTTATTTATTCCAGTGCGAAATATGCGGTCATGATGGTCTTTCAAACCAGCATATCTTTTCCTAATGTTATATTTGATGTTAGCCAAGGGGTGGCAATGAACCTAGACCTGACCTGAGACCCAAATAGTAGACCCGACCCAGATCCAGGTATGGGTCTAAAATTTGGACCTAGCGGGCCGAGTCTAAGTTCAAATCTTGGATCCAAATACTATTGGGGTCCGGATCTGGGTCCCACATATATTTTTGGGTCCTAATTTAAAAAAATAGTTAAATATATATTTTTTAAAAATTTTGGGTCAGGTCAGATCGAGTCCAGTTCTAGGTCCCACATTATATTTTTGGGTCTGGGTCCTATGACTTTGGGTCCCGCTAGACCCAAACCCAACTCGACCCGCTGCCACTTCTAGTTAGCCAAATGCATACTTGCTTCTTCGTGCATAAGAACCATCTAGGATGATTTTTTCAATCTAGAATTTTTGGATCCATTTTAAAATCATGAATATTTTCCAAAACAATAAATAAATTAATAGATTTTGAATTCTGAAGCACCTAAATCAAAATTATTTGTCTACAAAATGGGGTATCTAAATTAGGAAAGCATATAATGAGACTATTTACTTTTGGTACAAGGTGGTCATAATTAATTGACCATTGGATGTAAATTGGTGGCTGCATTTATTCCATTGAGCAAACTCAAAGTTCAAAAAAAATTTCTCAAACTTTGTGACACACCCAAGCTGTTAGATTTCACATCGGATAGTTGTAAGTAATTGTGACCTCCATGCACCAAAAATAAATGATCTCATTGTATACAATCCCAACGCTATTTAATTTTAGAATGGGATTTTTTTCAAAGTGATCCATGTGCTTGTTCCATCAATTTTCATTCCAAACTTTGGGGTCCTAAAAATACTAGTAAGTAGGATTTTTCCTAAGAGAGCAAACATACATTTTTATCATGTAAGAGCATACTAGCAAGAGGCATTTCTATTATTGTAATTCTAACATCAAGATGGTTAAAACATATAAAGTCCTTTTCTCCCAAAGGCCAAAATATCTAAAAATTGGGGAATAAGAACTAAGTTAATGATTATCAAAATAGGAGAGAAATTTTCTTTTACACATGAATACATCTAAGATATTTAGTCCTAAGTTTATAAAATAATATATATCAAAAAGAAATATAAGAATCTTATGCATTGTGGAAGGTGACTCCCTGAATATTATTAGATGGTGTAATAAGGAACAAAGAGTTTCTTGCCGTTGAAATAGGTTTGGCTTCAAGTCTTAGACTTGGCTAGTCTTTAAGGGTCTCCT